AGTGAATGATCTCTGCCTCTGGTGAGGAGGGCTGACAAAGTGGAGAGAATATGCACACAGCATCTGCGTTCTCCTCTTTTAGAGATATTCATTTTTGAAAGGCGTTGCAGCCTACAACTGTTGTGTGTGTGCTCAGGTCAGCTACCTAGGAAGCTGATTCCTCCTTCCACATGCCTGAGCATGGCAGATGCTTCTTCTGAGATAAGCCACTGAGGAGCTGAAGAGAATGGTTGCCAAAGCAGGATGTTAGGATCTGTACTGGGTAACTTGGTGCTTCGATCCTGATAATTGACTTTCTTCTGGTTGCCCCAATGGCTTGAGAAAACATCAGTTGGTACTGTCAAAGAACGATCCTTCATTCTGAAAAGGGAATTAAGGGAAAGTTTGATACTAAAGGCTGTTGCTAACTTTCTGGTTTTTGCCCAATGTTGGCCTATTCTCAATTTTTTTCTCAAGGTTCCCTCGGCCTGTGACGGTGGAGCCCATGGACCAGTATGATGATGAGGAAGGACTGCCGGAAAAGCTGGTCATCAAAAACCAGCAATATCACAAGTAGGTGCTGGGGAGATATCAAGCGGCACCTTTGTGATGGAAGCAGATGTTTTAAAAAGCTGTTCTGCCCAGCATGCAATCATGGAGGGAAATACCTTTGGGCTAGGCTTATGTCTGTTAAAGCAGACGTGAAAACTGAAGTATTGTCCTCTGCATCCAGACTGTAGTTCAGGTGTCTTTAATTGGTGATATTGGTGGGTTGGAGCTGCAGGCTCTGCTAATTCAGCAGGTACCGGCTGAGAAGATCGCTATATTTCCTCTGCGAGATTCTCGGTCTCAGTGTTTCCAGCTTTAGTCCCAGCTCATGGCTTGTAGTTCTTGAGTGAGTGGATTTCTGGCTTCTGCCCCCGCAGGGAGCGCGAGCAGCCCCCCCGCTTTGCACAGCCAGGCTCCTTTGAGTATGAGTACGCCATGCGCTGGAAGGCCTTAATCGAAATGGAGAAGCAGCAGCAAGAGCAAGTGGACCGCAACATTAAAGAGGCCCGGGAGAAGCTGGAGATGGAGATGGAGGCGGCTCGTCATGAGCACCAGGTCATGCTCATGCGTCAAGGTGGGCCCTGGAATTTATGGGTACTCGCTGTGGGGATCCTTTCTGGCAGCCCCGCCGGGATTCCAAACTCTCATCCTGCTCCTTCTTCCAGATTTGATGAGGCGCCAGGAGGAGCTCAGGCGCATGGAGGAGCTGCACAATCAGGAGGTGCAGAAGCGCAAACAGCTGGAACTCAGGTGAGCATTGGATTAACAAAGGCAGTTCCGGTACAGATTGCAGGTTAAATGATAAAGCAGGTCAAAAATTGATTAATAAATAGAGCTGAAAACAAAATTCTTTAGTCATGGAAAACTTCCCTAGGAGCTCTTGGCTCCAGCCTCCCTGCTAAGCGATCTCTGGCTTAATTGATGCCCCCCCATGGGCCTTTTGGGGGGGCTAGTGGGATGTGGCCCGCAGAGAGGCGAAGAGGCCGGGGGGGGGGGTGATCCTTGGGCAGGCTGCCCAGACCGAGAGCCAAGCCCGGACTTCTCTGGCAGGCAAGAAGAGGAGCGCCGGCGCCGGGAGGAGGAGATGAGGCGGCAGCAGGAGGAGATGATGAGGCGGCAGCAGCAGCAGGAGGGCTTCAAGGGCGCCTTCCCTGACGCGGTAATGGGGGGGGTGATGGGGCAGGACCGGGAGGGAGGAGGCGGCTGCACCTGACCACCAGGGCACCCAGTCACCTTGGGCCTGTCTGTCTGTTTCAGAGGGAGCCTCCCGACATGCGCATGGGGCAGATGGGGATGGGAGGTAAGTGGGAGGGGTGCCCAGGCCCTCCGCGGTCAAGAGAGGGTGTCCTTCCAGCCCTGGGCATCGGTCGGGGGTCTCGGCCTGTAGCTGAGCAGGGGCTGTTAGCAAGGGGGCTGGCTCGGGGGCAGCCACGGGGGATTCTGAAGGGGGAGGGAGTTGGGTTGCATCTCAGGAGGGGTCCCTGCTTTGCCTTTCAGGTGCAATAGGAATGAACAACAGGGGGGCCATGGGGGGCACCAGTGTCCCTGCAGGACCCCCACCTGCGACTGGCCCTGGACCAATGATCCCTGATGGAGCCATGGGAATGGTGAGGTCACCTGAGCTCTCGTCCTTGGTGGGGGGTGGGGTGGAAGAGCCAAGATGGGGCAGTATTATCAGTTAACTTATTAGCTATTTGGGGGGGGGGTGTTATCTGCTGCAACATTCAAAGCAAGGTCCATTGGGTATTTTTTATTCCTTAAGGACATAAACTGGGTTTAGGATTCTTGCCTTCTGTTTCAACAAACTTAAGGAGGGCTAGCAGCTTAAACATCCGAGGCTTGCAGGATATAGAATCTCTTTCAGGAGCTACTACCCTTAGAGTTCTGATGGGTTTTAGGATCCCAGCTGGGTTTTCTGTCTTTCTTAAGCAGGTTCTTTGAAGAAAGTGCTACCCCTGGGCTTAGGCTTAGACCTGCCTCTGAGCCCCCTTGTAGGTCTTCAGAAAGCAGGAAAGAACCCTTGGATCTCGGGGCCTCGGGCTGTTTCTGACCAAAATCTTTCCTTTCTCTCTGCACAAGACCCCTCCACCACCAGCCGATCGCTTCGGACAGAGCGGGGCCATGGAAGGCCTGGGCACCATGGCAGGAAGCACACCGGGATTCAACCGGGGAGCTCCCGGCGGAGATTTTGGCCCCAACAAGCGTCGCCGGTACTAACAGGAAAGGGTCCAGTGCTTGGCTCTCCTCTCAAGAAGACCCCTAGCTCCTTCTTGAGGCCAGGAGTTTGGCCAAGGCAAGAGGCATCTGATCGTATTTCTAAATGGTGCAGCTGACACCAGGAGGGTTGCATTCCTGCAAGCACGCAATGTGAACATGGATCCCAGGAGGCTTCAGTAGCTGTGTAGTGTATGGGCCAAGCTAGGACCCCTGGCCCTTTTCCTTCCCTTCCCCAAGCCCCTGGCCACAGGCTGTCCTTGGACGCCCCCAGCTCTCCCCCAGGCCTCGGAGACCCCTTCTGAGCACTGGGGCTTCAAGGCCCGTGGTTCTGTACGTAGCTACAGCCACAAATGGCAGATCATGTAAGGGGAGGGGGGAATAGTTTTTTAAACTTGTAGCTTTTTATTTTTTCCTCTGGACCATTTTTTCCTTTCCTGTAGTTCTCTGGGGCAGCCAAGAGGGCTCGATAGTGGTGGTGGTTCTGGGATGAATTATTCAGTGTTGTACCATTCTTTCTTTTTTATTGGTAGAAAAGTACAATCTATTGGACATAGTAAAACACAAAAGTTTCCTGTTAAAAAAAAACTCAGCTGAAGCAATTGTTTGTATAACCCTAACTTTACCTGTCTTGTGTAGAAGTAAATGTGTGAATCTGAGCTGTAATCGTCGACTAACAGGTTGAGTTTGTCTCAAGATTGTTACAGGAATGCATTATTAAAAGGGATTTTAAGACTTTTTCACCTTGTGTCCACCTCTGATGTCTGCTGGGTTTCTGATTACTAGACGAAAAATCTGCCTCTGGGAAACGGCAACAGGCCGGCATCCTCAGCCTTTTCCTGCTGCTGGGAAGCCCTTCTCCAGCTCTGCCCAAGGGGTGGCTGAGAATTCTGGGAGACATTTGGGAAACGGCAGTCGAGTGAGCCAAGTGGCGCAGTGACTGAGCTGGGTAGCTCGGGGTCGCTTGTTTTCTGGGAAAATAGCCCTGCAGCCACTTGTCTGGAGCCCCTTAGAGTAGAGGTCTGTGGAGCCCCCTATAAACTGGGGGGGGGGAGCTAGAGTTAGGGTGAAGGAAAGGGAATGGTCATGCTACTCAAAGGACACTGATCTGTCCTGGCTGGTCAGTTGGAAGAATTCCCCAAGCCATTCTGAGTGGGACTAATCTTGTAGTGTGCAAATACCTGGCTGCAAACAGCCAGCAAAGAAGGATGATTTGGGGTCAGGCAAAGTGCAAAATTGTCACGTGATGTACATAAATTGGGATGGATTAAGGGGAACAAAAAGGGAAGTGGGCGTCCCACACACGAAGAGCAGGTCTAGCTGAAAGGGGTCAGGGCAGAACTGGACCGCTGGCTTCTCAGCAGCTGGCTGGAACAGTTTTGTGTAATGCTCAGGCATGAATATGTTGGCAACTTCCTTGGCACCTCCACTTTGGGCTTCCAGCCAGAGGCGCCCCACATCACTGGCGGTGGGATCTGACCGAGTTTTGCAGGTGCTGCTGGGCTTCCTTCAAGGTGCCAGGTAGCCCCCCGTAAGCCGACACTGTTGGGTCACTCCCGGGCGCTCAAGGATGGGCCTGACCAGCAAGGACTCCCGATCCTGGGCAGCCACTTCTTTACCTGGGCTTCAGGCCAGCTCCTCTTGGAAGGGTGAAGAGGGACAAAAGACGTGCTTAACTTAAGCTGGGCCTGCTGGGAGGTGGGGAAGGGCCTTGCCCCCTCTGCCCTGCTCCAGGGGACAAAGGAGGGCAACCGAGTCTGCCGTCTTCTGGGGTCTTCTGCAGTCAAGACAGGGAAGAAGAGGCAGCCTCAGCTCTCCCCTCCTTTGCAACTGAGAAAGAAGAGGCAAAGGATTGGGAGGGGGCTTCTGGCGACACCTGGATGTGCTGGGACCTCGCTGGCCAGAATAAACGGAGTTTCCAGAGCCTTTTTTCTTCGTGGGGCTGCCGATTTGCTGCTTCTCTTCCTGTTTGTCCTGGCATGATGGGGGGGGGGGACATGTAGCCCTGCATCTGAGCAGGAGCAACAGCTGGAGGCATCCCAGGGGGCTTCTGCCAAGGGCCTTGTGTTTTTGGCTGGCAGCTGAGCCTCAGGCAGAGGGGACCCTCCCAGCCCACCCCTCCCTTTGGTGATCTTGAGTGGTGGAGCAGCTGCTGCCCTTTTCTGGGCTGCCCCCTTTGCAGCCCTCGCTACTAAAGATAGCTGAGCCTTCTGGTTTTGTAGCCGCCCGGCCGGCCAGGCTCCATCCCAGACTCGGCAATGGCCTTGCTGTGCTACAGGAAAGGCTGCGGGCAGAGCTTTGACCCAGAGAGGAACAGCCAGGGTAGGTGGGCAGGGAGGGAGGGAGGGAGGGCGGTGGGCACAGGAGCGATTGCAGCAGAGGAGCTGCAGCTGGACGAAGGGCCTTGCTGGTGCCACATCTACATGCTGGCTGGGATGCCCAGCACACCCCTTGCTCCTGGCCTGTGCCTGCCAGGCAGTCCCCCTGGTGCTGATGTTCTGAAAGTGGGGGGCTCGGACCAAATCCCCATGCGGGGGCTTTATAAGGGGAAGGAGCTGCAGCAGCTGCAGCCCCATACATTGGGAGGGGGGCACAGTGGAGCTTCCATCCCCCCCGCCACCTTTGAGCTGGGAACTGATCAGGAGTGCCAGTTTAACTTTGGGCTGCCTGAAATCACAGTCTTGGAGAACTTGTAGGTCTTCCATCCCCAGAACAGTCTGGAAATGGAACAGGATGGAAGGATGGGGGTGCAGATCAAGCTGCTTGCTGGAAGAAAACCCTCCTTTCCTCCCTCCCTCTCTCAGATGCCTGCCTCCACCACCCGGGCTTTCCCATCTTCCACGATGCCTTGAAGGTGAGTGGGTCCAACTGCACAGGGCAGGGGGGGGCTCAACCCCATTTCCCTGCAGTCAGCCACGGGTGGAACTGCAGCAATGGGGCCGGGAGTGTCCAGGAGGAGAAGGGCCATTGCACAGGTTGACATCCCCATCGAGTGGAGGGTCTGCTGCTCTGTCCCCCTCCCTCCATGTCAAGGCACCTGTTCTGCCCTTATTGCTCCTGGGATGGGGGCCCTGCCCACCCACCCCCAAGCAGGAAGGCAGTGTATAGATAGGAGGAACGCAACACCTCTGGTGCTGGCGCTGTTCCTCCCCATCAGCAAGCGGGGGGATGGCCTGTTTGGGGGTGCTGGGCTTGGAGGAGGGGGCACCTACTCCTTGTTGTTCTTCCAGGGCTGGTCCTGCTGCAAGAAACGGACGACCGACTTCTCTGAATTCCTCTCCATAAAGGTAGATGATGCTTACAAACCGCGGGGTGCGAGTGCCCGTTCCCCTGTCAGCATATCCATCCCGTGCATTGATGGACGAGGCCAGCACAGCTCATGGCCCTCTTAGCTTTTGCTGCACAGACACAGTTGACTTTTTCAGCTATTCTTTTTCCAGTGGCCTTTTCCCAAACATCACAACCTTACACATCTGGAAAAGGTTGGTGGGGGTTGGTGGGGAGGGAGGGAGGGAGGGTGACAGCAGGGCATGGCAGAAGGGTCCCGTTGCCATCCAAGCTCAGGGCTGAGCTAGAGGTCCGCAGTTCAGTGTCTCAGTCGCAGAGTGCACCCTCAATGTGAGAAAAAGGCCTGTCCCGCAAGGCCGGCAGACCAGACGGGCCTGTGAAATAACTAAGAACCGTTTCTCTCTCTCCAAAGGGCTGCACGAAAGGCTACCACAGCCACGAGAAGCCTCCAGAGCCGGAGGAGGCCTCTGCCAAGCACAAGCCCTGCACTGAAGACCTTGTTCTGGAGTCAAAGTCTGCTGAGGTGCTGCAGCGGGAGAGGCCCAGGTGAGGAGGGGCTTGATAAGGACCCTCCCGGAGGTCCCAAGCCTGATGGTGCTGACAGCTTTGGGCTGGGGATGGGAAGCAGCAGAGATCTCCCTTGAGTTTTACAGGTATACTTCCTCTGCACGAGGAGGTTCTATTTATCTGCTTTCCTTCCCAACCCCATCAGTGAATTGTGCACCGAAGGAAGGAAGCGGTCCGTGAGGCGGGGGTGGCAGAAGAACAGGAGTTACACCCCTTTTGCCCAAATTTAACGTAAACTGGCTCCTCTGTGCATACATTCTGCCCTCTCCTTTGGCCCCCAGTTCCGATGAGCCCAAGCAGCCGCTGCTGGTGAAGGTGGCCCAGGCACTGCAGCAACTCCTGGAGAAGCTGGACACATCCTCGGCCACGCAACCTGCCCCGCACGGCTTGGCCAGCCCCGGTGGGAAACACGATGAGGCTTGCTGGGGGAAAGATGAAGCCAAAACGAAGGGGGGCAGCTGAGCGGCTAAGTGGCTGCTCTCTTCCCAGTTGACCGGGGATGTGGGGGGAGTACAAGCACCACAGGTGGCCCCACTGTGCCTCTGTGTGGCCGTGGGAGGCTGTGTGGGGAGCCAGCTGAGAACGCTGGAAGCTGCAGCCCTCTAAACCTCGCTTGGGGAAGGTCCCGAGCCTTTGGCCAGTTGATAAGAGGCTGTGGGGCAGGACAGGATCCCTCGCAAGCAGATGCGGCTGGCCTTGGGGGCAGCTGCAGTTCTGTGCCCCAGCAGACTTGCAAGGCCCCAAATTGCTGTTTTCTGGCTTTCTCTTAGGGGGCACCTCAGAGGCGAGCATCGGCACGGCCTGCAAAAACGCCGGCTGCCAGGCGGTGAGTTGCCCTTGGGGCTGCTCAGCTTCTAACATCCCCCCTTGGACCCAATTAATGGCCCAGCCTTGGCTGGTCGGGAAAGAGCTGCCTCCCCAGTTCAGGGTAGCATTGGCCAAGAAGAGAGAGGGAGGGAAGCAGTGGGCCGAAAGAGCTGGTTGCCCCGGCGGCTCCGGAGCGGGCTCTTCCCGACCACTTGGCCAACCCTTCCTGTCTCCTGCCCGGCTGATCTTTCAGGCTTTCCAGGGAGAGGAGAGCAAGAGGGAGACCTGCCTGTTTCACCCAGGGGTGCCCGTCTTCCATGAGGGGTAAGCCTCACGGGCATCTCGGATGCCCTTCCTCCTCAAAGTCCCTGCCTTCAGCTGTGATGCCCACAGCGGGGGATGGTCTGCCATGGGACCCGGCATCTTCCACTCCCCTCCTGCCCCCCCCCACTGGCCTGTCTGGGGCCTGCTGAGTCACCCAAGCCAGGTGCCTCCAGCTGTGCTCCCCTCCCTAAGACTCCCAGGGGGCAGAAGACACAGGTGAGGCCATCTGCAGTTCCTGTCCTCTTCATCAAGTGGATGCTTCACCCGCTTGTGGTGAGCCATCTGTAACTGGGGGGGGGGGATTCCTATCCTAACTACCCAAATAAATATCCACCCAAGCTCTCTGCTTGTCTCCCGCCTCCATCTGTGATCCATCCAGCATGAAATACTGGAGCTGCTGCGGGATCAAAACCACAGATTTTGCCGCATTCCTGGAGCAGAAGGGCTGCAGCAGAGGGAAGCACACCTGGGTGACGGGGCAGGTGAGGGTCTTCTGCCCAACCCCCGCCCTGTCCGAGGCTTGGTCTGCAGCCGAAGGGAAGCCAGAGGCCAGCCCTGCCCGGACAGCAAGGGACTGGACTAGCCTTGCTGGTTGTGGCTACCTGCAAAGTATGTGCTTTAAAGGGGGGGGGGGGCAGAGCTTCTTGCCACCAAAGCTCTTTCAGATCCCAGAAAAACAGCTTCCCCTTTCTCACAGGGGAGCCACCTCAGCATCATCTGCCCTCCCCCCGCCCACCCCAAGCACAACCTTCTAGCAAAGGGATCTCCTTGGGGCAGAGGAGGAGGCCTCCCTTAGAAACAGAGGAGGGAGAAAAGGGATGCCCTTGAACGGGAACCCCTCCTGCAACGTAGAAGGAGGGAAATGGGCTGACGCTTCCCATCCCGTTCGGGGTCCCTAGGGAGGTTTTTTGCCTGTTGGGGGACCTGCAAGGCTGCAGTCCGGAAGGCCCGTCCTCCAAATTGGGGTTCCCTGCGTAAGAGGGGGCAGGAATGTTGACCAGCTGTTTTTCTATGGCCACCACAGGAGGACAAGAAGCGGGTCTCTTGTCGACAGGATTGGCACCAGACCAGCAGCCAAGTGGTGGTGACCCTCTATGCCAGGACCCCCCTGCCCCACCTCAGCTCCATCAAGGCCAACCGCACTGTGGTAAGGAAGAAGGGCTGCTGGCGGGGGGGGGTGGGAGGGCTGGGGCACAGCTGCTTCTCAGACGTGGCCTGCTGGGCGCTGCAACCAACCCCATCTTCCAGGGCAGGGTGGAGGTGCTGCGGCAGGACTTGGGGCTGAGGAGGCTTCCTCTTTTCTTGCAGCTGGACATCCGGGTAGCCTTTGAGAGAGACAAGATTTTCCAGGCCCAGCTGGATCTCTGGGGGGTATGTTTGACTCACTTGCCTGGCTTTCTTCTTTGGGGGCCACCTTGGAAGAAAGACCCGCCTGGACTCCAAAGGGTCTCTTCTTTCCATAGCTACCAATGAAAAGGCTGGGGGAGGGAGGTGGCCCCCGTTTGTGCGGCTTCAGGACATCTTCCCACCCTCATAGTGCCAGGACGGCCACTGCAGACATTGGGGGGCTGCCTGATCCAGCTGGTTCTCCTGCTGGCCCTCTCCTTCCAGGTCATCAATGTGGAGAAGAGCTTTGCCAGCCTGTTGCCTTCCAAGGTGGAAATTGCCCTGAAGAAAGCGAACCCCATTACCTGGGCTGGGCTCGAGCAGCCACAGAGCCGAGGGGAGGCCTGTCAGCCACCGCCCCAGGAGGAGGCCACAAAAAGCAGCTCTCTGGAAGCCCCCATGGATGACTCAGATGACAGCCTGGGCTGGTCCGAGGATGAGGGCTGAGGGGGCAGCCAAGCAGGGGCAGGCAGGCAGCTGAGCCAGGCTGAGGAACAGGAGGGGGCTGGGCTGGCTCTGGGGCTGCAGGAGAGCACCTCCACGGAGCCTGGGGACACTCCCACCATCCAGAGTTTCGCCCCTGCGGGAGGACCCTCTTGGCCCTGTCCTGTCTTGAAATAAAAGCAACTTCTTTCAGTGGGAGTAAGTCAGTGTGTGTGTAGGGAGGTGTATGCTGTGCAGACCCTCCCTTCTTTGCAAGAGTTTTGTGCAGCCATGCTTTTGATCAGATTTCTTTCCCAGTACAAACTGGTGATGAATGGGACCGCAGCCAGCCATGAGCCGCCCCGCCGTGTGCTAGCCCTCCTCCAAGCTCAGCCGCAAAAGCTGCTGGCCTCCATGTGTGCAGGTATGCCACGCAAGGTCTCCAAGGCCACAGTCCAGGAGACCGGCATTAACCCACAGTAGCAAAAAACCAGAATAATTCTGGTAGCAGCTTTTCAGGCATAAAGCCCCCCCCCCCCCCGAAAGATGCCCTTCTTTCCAACAGGAGAAGGAAGAGGCTCAGCTGGAAATCAGCACAGTTCCTCCTCTTTGTGGGAACTGATCGCCAGCTGCTTGGGTACCACTTGTGTTGCCTAGAAACCCAGCCTCAGAGACTGCCACGATCGCCTCAGGCAACAGGGCCGCAGTTTGGGCTACTTTCCAGGCTCCTGTGCAGACGCCGCCCCAGGGAGCGCTCCTTGTGCAAGGAACCTGCCGGGGCACCCCCAGGGGAGGGGGGCGCAGCTCTCCCGGCCGTCAGGAAGCACAAACCCGGCCAAGTGCCGGGAATGCTGCTTGCAGGGCCAGGATGAGGGCGAGGAGTGTGGCTCTGTCACTGGGCAACGGCACAGAGCGGAGCTGCAGCCTCCTGGCGGCTACCGGGAAGAGTCATTTTCTTGGCAACGTTTCCTTCAATCCGCCGACGCCCCAAATTCACCCCGGGGCAGCTTTTCTCTCTCGCCAGAGGCACATGCAGCATCACGTGGATGCAGAGCGAGGCAGTCGGGGGGGGGGCTGCTAATGCACGGATGCCGCGGGAGGCGAAGCACTGGGCGCCTAGGGGGACCGGCCCAAACGAAGCAGGGCGCCCCCTCCTCCGCGGCCACCTGCAGGCGGGGCGCGCGAGCCCAGGGACCGCCCTCGAGCCTGGAAGAAGGCCCTTCGCGGCCGCCGTAGACGGACTACGTTTCCCAGCAGGCCCGGGCGGGCCGTGCCATTGGCCTTTCCCCGTCGATGGGGCGGGGCGTGAGGCCGCATGCGTAGTGCGTGGGCCGGGCGCGGGGGGCGCGGTTTCCCGCAGCCGCTTCCAGCTCGACTTTGGCCGGCGGCGGCGGCGGCGCGGGGACCCGCCCGGAGGGCAGCAAGGGAGGCGCGAGCGACGCGGAGGTGAGCCCGGCCCGGGACCCCGATTGCCCGCCATGTTCGGGCACGGCCCTTCGCCAGCAGCCGTCGCCTCTTCCGGGCCCGCGTCGGCTTTCAGGGAGGCGGCCGGCCGGAGGGCGCGGCTCGGCCTCCGGGTCGCCTGGGACGACGGGCCCCTCCGCCGGGCGCGCCTGCCTGCTTGGACCACAAGCCCCATCGTCCGCAGCGGGCGGAGTCGGCCTCGGCCCGGCCAAGACGCTCGGGCGCCGGCGACGTCGGGCGCGGCGCCGCTGGGGGGCTGAGCGGCCCTGAGCCTCCGCGGCAGCCCCGTCCACGGACAGGGGGGCGTCTCTGGCCTCGGGGCGCCGCGGCTCCCTCCCCGGGAGGAGAAGGACGGCCCTTCCTGCGGGGCTGCCTGCGCCCAAACCCCGCGGGCGGAAGCCGTTTGCCACCGGCTGAAGTTGTGCGGCGGGGCCGGCAGCTGCCGGGCGAGGCGAAGGAGGGAGGAGGGCGAGAGTTGCCCATGGGCAGCGAGTCGGGAGCCCGGGAGGTCCGCCGGCCGCCGCCTTTAGGACAGCCGCATAACCTCGTTTGCTTTGTGGCTTAGCGCGCCACTTGAACCAGGCTGCTCCGTGTGTAAGCCATGGTTTCCTGCTTAGTGTAGGTGTCGACTAAGCTACTATGCCTTATTCCTTAAACCGTGGTTAGCGGGATTGACGGGTGAACAGGATCCCAGTGGGATTTTCTCCCCCCCCCCCTTGGGGAGGGGATAGAGATGGAAAAATTAGCACCCAGGGAAGGATTTGGAACACGGGTTGCAAAGGGACGTTTGAATTTTTTTTCTTGCGGACTTTTCCGGCTATCTCGCTGCTCTGTTGGGCGGTCCTGGCTCTCTTGGGACAGGTGATCTTCTAGGCTGGTTTTGTGCCTGGCGAGAAACAGTCATTTGAGAACTAAGTAGCACCTCCTGAAGAAAAGTCTGACAAGCCATTGCTTGTTTGAGCTAGTTTGGCAATCTTGGAAGTGCAAAATGGTCGGATTCACGTTGTGATGGAGGATTAAGCTGTCTGTTTGTCTAATTGTTACAGGGACTTTTTTGTTTCTACTTCGAAAACCCTCTGAGCAGCCTGATCTGGTTTCTTTCTGAACTTCTGTGGCCTCAGCAAGGTGGATTTTCTGTCCACAAGCCCAGTTCCCATTGCGCTTGACTTTTTGTGCTGCTTCTTTGTTTATTAGCAGGAGGCCTCTGGTGGTAGTGCCAAACAGAATGGTTCTGAGCTCCCACCATCCATGCTCTAAAGTCTAACGTGTTTTTTTTTGCCTCCGGCTGCTGGAACAATTCCTGGTTCATGCTGGGGCAGCAAACCTTTGAAGACAGTAAAGTAAAAAGCTTTCAAGACAAGTTGTCTCTGCGCCTCTTGGAAGAGATCTGCCATGCTTCTCTCTAGTTTTGTAGGCCCAGTCAATATTCTTCTTGGCAGGGCGGGAAGAGAGATTTGTCTCTCTGGTGCCCCTGCAAATATACTCTTTCTGATGGGGATGCTGCTCACGGGAAACAGGTGAAGCCACTCGTTTCTCCTGCCCCACAGCAAAGAAGCTGCCTAGCCCCAATGACCCTTTCTGGCCGCCTGTATTTTAAAGTCTCCAGGTTGCTCTTTGTTCACAAAAGTTTTCCATACGTGAATTAGAGAATAGAATAACTTTATTGTCATTTTAAATGTACACTAATCAGCATACATTAAAATGAAATTTCGTTGCATTCAGCTCTCAAAGGGTAACCACCACCAATATACAGGCAATAATTGCCTTCCCTCTAATTTGAATCTCTGTTTGCACAGGGCTCTTCCAAGCCAAAGAATGCAGACGATAAAGTGTGCGGTGGTGGGAGACGGCGCTGTGGGAAAGACCTGCCTGCTCATCAGCTACACCACCAATGCCTTCCCGGAGGAATACATCCCCACGGTGTTTGATAACTACAGCGCTCAGATGACGGTGGACGGGAGGATGGTCAGCCTTAACCTCTGGGACACAGCCGGACAAGAGGAATATGACCGTCTGCGGACCCTCTCTTACCCGCAGACCAATGTCTTTGTGATTTGCTTTTCCATCGGCAGCCCCTCCTCTTATGCCAATGTGCGACACAAATGGCACCCTGAGGTCTCCCACCATTGTCCCAATGTGCCAATTCTTCTGGTGGGCACCAAAAGGGACTTGCGGAATAATGCAGAAGCCGTAAAAAAGCTGAAGGAGCAAAGCCTGGGCCCTACCACCCCCCAGCAGGGCACTTCGCTAGCCAAACAAATCGGGGCAGTTAAATACTTGGAGTGTTCAGCATTGAACCAGGAAGGGGTAAGGGAAGTATTTGCAGAAGCCGTGCGTGCCGTTCTCTATCCGGTGACAAAGAAGAACTCCAAGAAGTGCCTGCTGTTGTAGTCAGCAAGACGAGGGCAGCGCAGACTGAAAGCGTGGGGTGTTTGCAGTCCATCTCCTTAACTAATGGCCTCTTGCACTAATGGCTTTAAAGAGAACTTTTTTTCAGCAAGTCCTCCTGCAATCCAGCTGCCACTTTGAGCCAACAGAAATGAACATATTGGCTCTAGCCTTAAGGATCAGCCTCTAGGTGAACTCTCCGTGTCCCTACTTTACTCTCCACCTCTTCTGTGGAGGAGCCTAAAGCTACGGAATGCCTTCAAAGCCAAGGGTTTCTCTGCTCAACAGGGAGAGTCCTTCGGAAGGCGACCATGATCTGCTTTGCTTTCACATCAGTGTTGCTTCCTCTCCAATCTCATGTAGGGCAGGGCTGTGCCTTTCCAGTAGCAGTAGACTGTCACAGTTTTCAAAAGCACCATACAAATTTTAAAATCTCTCCTTTATTGCAGGCAGGCATGCCAACAAGCCTTGCAAACTGAGGGATGAGCAACCCCTGGGGAGTTTATGAAATCACAATCAGGCTAGCTTCTTTGTGGAACAGCTCTGATATCTGGCAGTTATTTGGCTTTCAAGGTTTGGAAAGCTGAGCTATATAAAAATCTTCTGATTCCCACTTTGCGCCCTTCCCTCTCTCCTACCCCCCCCCCCCACACACCAGGCCTAGGTTAACTACGGTGTGCTGGCTGACATCAGGCACTCTGATGGTTTTTCTGGACTGGCATTTTTCCTGGCTTAAATGCCATGATTACCCTTCAGCCTTGTGAGTGAGTCTTGGGGTGAGAAATTGCCTGCTATGCAGGACAGAGTCTTGGGGAATTTTTTCTGCCATCAAACCTTTTAAAAGCTGTGCTGCTTCAAAGCAGCCTTTTTGTGTGCCTTCTGTTCCCCTTTCTCCCTTGCAGATAAAACTCAATAACTACTTTTAAACATTCAGGTGTGAGTACTATTAAGCTGATGCACTGATTTAGTAGAAGCTGAAATCTTTCTAGGCCATTGGTCCCCATAGAGATGCATATGAGTAAGGTCTAACATTGCCTGAAATACTAACTTTGCCTTCTTTAGAATGAATTTTGCAACTTTTCTTTTAGAAACACAAATCTCTGTTAAGTATCCTGCAATTTGTTTCCTTTTGCAACAGTAAAAAAACTCTTATGTCCATTGGGCATCTTTAGCCGATTAAGGAAAGCCTGATGCTCGACAGCATCTCTTTCTGGATAAAATGCTTTGAGCAGCCTCTCCAGCGTGCTCCTTAGGAAGAATGTTGAGATGCAATGCTCTGTTCCCAGCCCCTCTGCCAAATAATTGTGTTCTGCATTCTGGCTGTGATCCTGATCTGCACTAGTGACCAGGAAATTTTGCCTGAATGTGGAATTGTGATACTGGGAACTGTCCTCTTTGCATGGATGCTGATGTCACAGCGAGATTGGTGGAGCAAATCCTGTGTAATTCTCATCCTCGGCATGCAAATCTCACTAGAGTGCCGTAACGTTGGCCATGCTGTGGTCCCCTTTTCCCCCTTTGCCCCAGCTGAGATTCTGGGCGGAACATTTGGCCTACATCTGACCATCCTCAGGGTATATTGCGATAACAAACTGTTTCCAACCAGGTTGTGATTGTTAACGAGAACTTGGTCTCACTGGCACTGCCAAATGTCTCCTGAATGCCTTCCTGATGTTCCATGCTTCCTCCTGCCTGAGCCTGATGATGTGGGACTGGACTCTCCCTGGGGAAAGAGGCTTCTCCAGGCGGAGCTGGGGTGGTTTGAATGACGGTTGAGGTTCAGAGAGCAGACAGACTCATCATGTGGTACTTCAATATACACTGGCAACTGATTTTACGGTTTGAAGTACATTTGTACGGCAACTAACAGTTATTTTTAAATTATGCTGAATGAAATTGTAATAAAGCAGTTTCCTGATTCTTTTGCTGTTGTTCCTTATTATGGGAGGGAGGGGGGATGAGGAGGGGGGCTCCTTCACACAATCCTTCTGTAGCCCCAGGCTCTGGCTGGACCCCCAACCATGACTCTCAGCTTCTGGGTTCTGCATGCTTGCCTGGGACCATGGGGCAGCTGTGCTAGAAGAGAGGGATCGCATCACCCCCCCCCCCATTGAGTCCAGTCTGGGGTGTGTCCCATATTCGAGTGAAGCCCTAGTGGACGATCGCTTGAATACGTGCTGCAGCTGCCAACCCAGTCCTAGGCTGCATTTAACAGAGGGATAGACTCAACATCAAGTGAAGTGTTAGTATCGTTTTAGAATGCCTTGGTAAGACCACAATTGGAATATTGCATCCAGTTTTGGTCGCCACGATATAAATAAGGTGTTGAAACTCTGAAAAGAGCAACAAAGATGACCAGGGGACCGGAGGTTCGAACATACGAAGAACGGTGGCAGGAACCGGGCACGGCTAGTTTAACGAAGAGAAGGAGCGGAGGGCGACGCGGCAGCCGTGCTCCAATGTCTGAGGGGCTGCCGCAAAGGAGGCGGGAGGGGGCTCGCCCCTTCCCCAAAGGCCGGGCAGGAAGCCGCGGGTGGAGGCTAATCAGGGAGAGAAGCAGCCTGGAACTAAGGAGGGATTTCCCGGCAGTGAGAGCGATCTAAGAGCTTCCCTCCGGCGGCTGTGGGCGCTCCATCGCTGGAGGCCTTCCAGAAGAGGCCGGGCAGCCTTGCGGGGCCTCCTGCCCGGCAGCGGGTCGCGCCCGCCTCCCGCTCCGCACTTCGGCCTCCCAGCCCCAGGGCGCCATTCGCCCCGCCCCACGCGAGACAGGAAGTCAAGGCGGGGGCCGCTCTAGGGCCGCCCTCGGTGGCCGCTGCTGCGACGGAAGAGGGAACCCCGCTTCCGGCTGCGGGGAGCGCAGTGCCGGCGCGATGTCGGACTCGGAGAGCGAGGAGGAGGCGGGCGGCGGCGGCGGCGGCGGCGGGCGGAGAGCGGCGCCCTTCTCCCTGGCCGGCTTCCTCTTCGGGAACATCAACGAGCAGGGCCAGCTGGAGGGCGAGGGGCTGCTCGACCAGGTGGGCGCCGAGGAAGAGCTCTTTCCCCGGCGGGGTCCGAGGGAAGGAGGCGGAGGAGGGCCGGAGCAAACCTCCCTCTCTGCCCGCTTCCCCTAGGAGTCCAAGAAGCACCTGGCCGGGCTCGGGGCGCTGGGCCTGGGCAGCCTCATCACCGAAATCACCGCCAGCGAAGACGACGCTTCCGAGGCGGACGGAGCCCAGCTGGACGAGGAGGGTGAGGCGTTGCGGCTCCGGGCTGCTTCCTCGCGGGTCCGCGACGGGGTCGCGGCTGAAACGGGGCCAGGGGGCTGCATGTCACCGGCCGCGGGGTTCAGACCTCCGCTGGTGCCCCCCGTCTGGGGCTCCGTTGCCTGGTTCGGGGTTTGGCACCAATGGGCTCTGGTGAGATCAGCGTTGCCATCCTCCGGTACTGCCCGGAGGGAGGCGAGCCGGGTGGCTCAGTCAGCGGTAGACCGGCCGTGAGAGGGCAGAGGGCAGCCCTTGCTGAAGGCGTTTATTAAGGCACTGATGGACGGAGGGTCAGACTCTCTTCTCTTCCTGGTGGCTCCTCAACAGAGCTTCCACGGGGAATGCGCCAGGCGGAGGATGGGTCTCTTGTTTTTTGTGGGAAACCGTGTTTTCTTTCAGGACAGGGGAGACCAAAGGGCCCCTCCCAACCCTGTGATTTCCAGATGTTTTTCCCTTGCAGGCTGGGTTAAGAGCACAGAGGATGCTGTGGATTATTCTGATATTACTGAGGTGGCTGAAGACGAGAGCCGCAGATACCGGCAGGCCATGGGTCATCTCCATCCAGTTCAGAGACCAGGTGGTTTGATGGCGATGATTTTTTCTGTTGTTTCTGAAGCAGAGGCTTGCGGAACTCTTATGATTGTGGGGAGGGGCGATCCAGTGACTTTCATTGTTCTTCTCAGATGACAATGATGATGACTACGATGCTGACTCAGAAGACATTGATTCCAAGCTGATGCCTCCCCCTCCCCCCCCACCAGTGCCAATGAAAAGGGAAGATGAGAAGGAGGCAGCAGTCTCTGGTGTGTATGTACTTTGGGCAATCAGGGGAGAGACCGAGCAGTCCAGTTAAGGGCCTGGGTGCGTTTTGGAGGAAGCACCCTCTAGTTTCTGAAGTTCAGGTACTTATTTGGTGACATGAGCCTACCAGAGTTGACGAGGAAGGACCTTGCAAGCTGTAACTGACAAAGGTTTGCTTAAGATTTGCATGTTTATATAGCCACAGCTGAAGACTTTAAAATCCTTTTTTCACCATCGTGTTTCTCTAATGTGAATCCACTTAGAGGGTTTTTTCTCCATGGATCCCCACAATGTTAGATTCCGGTTGCTGCATCCATGGCTGTGGCTCTGTTTCAGTCATCGGGGCCTTGGCAAGCAGGGCTCCCTTTTGCTGAGACGGCTGTTCCCTTCTTAGGGCCAGAAGAGGGAGATGGTATCATCTTGCCCTCCATCATTGCTCCTTCCTCTACTGCTTTGGAGAAGATGGACTTCAGCAGCTCTTCTGACTCTGAATCGGAGACGAGTTCCCAAGACTCGAGAAAGGCCGAATCAAAGGAAGGGAAGCTCACCTTGCCGCTTGCTGGGATCATGCAGCGAGATGCCACCAAGCAGCTGCCCAGCGTGACTGCGCTTTTCCCTGAGTTCCGGCCTGGAAAGGTAGAGCTGGAGTGTGAGCCCCGGGGTGGAAGTTCTCTGACCTGCTCTACACTTTGGGCCTCAGGTTCCAATCACCCAAGTGATCCTGCTAGAGTTGTGAGGTGACCAGTTTGCTCTTTTTCCTTAAGGATTCCCTTGTGGCTCCAAAGGATTTTGAAAGGTATCTGTGGTGATCTAGAAAAGCCAGAGGACATTTTCTTCTGGTCCAGCCTGGCTCTTTCGTGAAGCTGGTCTAGCCAGTGAGATGCCCTTGCTATGATCTCAGTAAAATCAATGAGGAAGAGATCAGGGCACCCAGAATGTTTCTGGCAGACCAGCTGGTTAAGACTCTTTGGCTGATACTACCAGGGTTCTTTTTCCCCCGGCTTCTGTCAACTAGCATGGTGCTTCCATCCCCACCCCGCCCCGCCAAGGTTCTGCCAGCTGGCAATCTCCTCTTTGTGTCTTTCAGACGGCTGAAATGCTGGAAGTCAGCTTATTGCCAGTTCCACCTCTCTCTCTCTCTCTCTCTCAGGTGCTTCGCTTTCTACGCCTCTTTGGCCCTGGAAAAAACATCCCATCCGTCTGGCGAAGTGCACGGCGAAAGCGCAGGAAGAAACACCGGGAGTCAATTCCCGAAGCACAAATCCCAGAGGAGGAAGCCAGTGCTGAGCCAGGCTTGGAAGGCAAATCCCCCTGGGAATATGAATTTGCCCCTCCCCCTCCCCCAGAGCAGTGTCTGTCAGATGATGAGGTGGGTCTGCGGAAATGGAGGGAAGGTGTTTCCTGGGGAGAATGGCTCCCTCCCTGAACTCTCTGACACCCACATATCCTTCAGATCACTATGATGGCTCCTGTGGAGTCCAAGTTCTCCCAGGCTACTGGAGATGCAGACAAAGTAGCTGACACCAGGCCCAAAGTGTCAGAATGGCGCTACGGTCCTGCCCAACTCTGGTATGACATGTTGGGCATCCCTGAAGATGGCAGCGGCTTTGACTATGGCTTCAAGCTGAAGGAAGCCGAGGAGGAAGAGGCAGTGAGTTGCAGAGAAGAGCAGTGCCTTGCTGACAGCAGGGAGGTGAGTCGGTTCCTGGTGAGCCTTTATTTTCCCTTTGTAGAGAACAGCAGCTGAGAAGGATGAGCTGCTGGCCGACGAGCACTTCCTGATGGTAACGCAGCTGCAGTGGGAGGACGATGTGATCTGGAACGGAGAGGACATCAAGCACAAAGGAACCAAGACCCAGCGAGCCAGTCTGGCAGGCTGGCTGCCTTCCAGCATGACTAGAAACGCCACTGCCTACAACGCCCAGCAAGGTAGGCCGGCCTTTTTTCTGCTTGCGTTTGGCTCAGCTGCTTCTGTGTCTGCTGATGCTTTCCTGGCTTCTGTTGGCAGGGCTGAACCGAAGTGGCTCCCTGCTCAACTTGCCAGTTCCCCTGGTGCAAAAGCCCAGTGTGGCAGGAGTCTTGAGCATCGCCAAGGGCAAAGAGAAGCAGCTGCCTGAACAGCAAGGTAAGGAGAAAGGGTCTCGGGGCAGGAGCAGCTCTGCAGAAGGAACTGGACCAGCAAAGAGCCTCTTCCCGAATCATCCCTGCCTTGATTAGTTTTGCTAATCGGGTGTTACGTTCTCTGGCACAGTGGTTTACCTGGGCTGTGGGAGTCTGACCATTCAGGGGTTTGGCTTACTGAGTTGGCATAAAGAAGAATTTGGGCAGTGATCAGTCAGTAGAGGTCTGATCCTCCCATTGCTCCTCTTTTCCCCCCCCCCACCATTTTGCTTTGCCCCATAAATGTTATTTGTTTGTTTCAAATGTGGGCAGGTGAGGCAGAAATGTCTGCTTTCCGCTTAACTCCCAGAGCACAATGTCGCCTTGGGCCTGGAGCACCGCCCTCTTCTGCAGTGGTGCTAGAGCATATGGGGGGTGGGGGGGAGGAATTTGCCAGTATCCAGCTGTCTTCACTTTCACACTTTGTTGCCCCAGCAGCCCTGGATGAAGACAAGCCATGGTTCTCCATTTTCCCCATTGACAATGAAGAGCTGGTCTATGGCCGCTGGGAGGACAACATCATCTGGGATGACAAGGCGATGAACAGGGTATTGATGCCCCCGGTCCTGACCCTGGATCCTAACGATGAAAATATCATCCTAGGTAGCATCTACAAAGTCACTTTCTTGTCTTCAGGCTGGGGGGTGCTGCTTTCTGGGGCCTTCTGGTTTCCTAAAGGGAAGAATGAGTAAACTGAGATGGGAGGCAGCCTCTCGGTAATCTTCCCAGAACACGGTTTTAGTTAACCTGATTCCCTCAAAGGACTCTGGGAACTAGGGCTAAGGCAAGAGTCAGTGAGACTCTTGACAGAATTCTCAGAGCAAATGCCAAGGTTCCTTGGTGGGGCTGTGGCAGTTAAACTGTCTTTGTATCTTTTCTGTAAGAAAACCTTTAAGCATCTTGTGAACTGGGGTGATCTGGCAGGTAACTAATTCCTGGCTTCAGGGAAGGCTCTTAAGCCCACCACTGTAGCAGCCTAAATGGGCCTTTGCTTCTGCTTTAATACCTTGACCGGTTTTGCCTGGTTCATCAATTGGGGGTAATTGGGAAGGGTGTTTCAGGTACAGTTTTCTCCTGTGCTCCTTCTAGAAATTCCCGATGAAAAGGAAGAGATGACTCTCAATTCCCCCTCCAAGGAGAATAAGAAAGACTCTTCTTTGAAGAAAAGCCGGATCCTCTTGGGCAAAACGGGAGTCATTAAGGAAGAGCCCCAGCAGGTTTGAGAGGGGCTCCGTTTCTTCTGAATTAGGGAAGGAAGGGGAAGAGATTCTGATGGTTTATTTTGCCCATGTTTCCACTCCAGAATATGTCTCAGCCAGAAGTGAAAGATCCCTGGAATCTCTCCAATGATGAGTTTTACTATCCCAAGCAGCAGGGCCTCCGCGGAACCTTTGGCGGCAATATTATCCAGGTTGGAATCAACGGTGACAGATTGTGTTGGGCTTGCCTTTTTATACTTTGTTTGGTTTTGACATAGCCCTAACCTAAATCCAGCTGTTGGGGTTACAAACTTCACCTTGCAGCTTAACATATTTGGCAAACTGGTTAGTTTTGATTTACCAAACAACTCACAATTAAACCATGGCTTTGCATGATATGTTATGCAAACCAGTTATTTGCCTGGTTGTGCCAAAGTGCCTTCTTGGGCCTAATACAACCCTGGCTTTCTGCCAAGGACTCCACTTCTGTAACGTGCCCGCAAGATTGGTTTGCAGAACTCGATGCAACCAGAGCAGCTTTGTCCCTCTTTGGGGAGCGGGGAGCCTTCCCACAGCTGAGGGCGATCGACGGGCCTAGCCGTTCTTCGGGACATGCCGAAATTGTGCCTCTCTGGTCTGGTACAGCACTCAATCCCTGCTGTGGAGCTGCGCCAGCCCTTCTTCCCCACCCACATGGGCCCTATGAAGCTGCGACAGTTCCACCGGCCCCCCTGGAAGAAGTACTCCTTTGGCACCTTGTCACAGCCCGGGCCCCACGCGGTGCAGCCACTGCTGAAGCACATCAAGAAGAAGGCCAAGGTAAGGGCCCGGTCTCTGGAGCTCTGCCCATTTCAGGCTTCGGCCTGCAGAGATTCTCTCTGCCTCCCGTGGAGACTTGTGTGTGTGTGTTGTGTGTTCCTTGACCCTCCTTGTGTTGTACCCAGATGAGAGAGCAGGAGCGCCAGGCCTCTGGGGGCGGGGAGATGTTCTTCATGCGCACCCCGCAGGACCTCACGGGCAAGGATGGTGACCTCATCCTGGCCGAGTACAGTGAGGAGAACGCCCCCCTGATGATGCAGGTTGGGATGGCCACCAAGATCAAGAACTACTACAAGCGGGTGAGTTCAGGGCTTGGGCTGCCAGACTCAGACTTCCTCTGAGAAAGCTCTCGCTCAGTCAGCCTTCTTGCTCCTGGCAGAAACCGGGCAAGGATCCTGGCGCCCCAGATTGCAAGTATGGGGAGACTGTGTACTGCCACACGTCCCCCTTCCTGGGCTCCCTTCATCCTGGCCAGCTCCTCCAGGTAAGGCCTCTGGGCTTGCGGTTTTAAACACCACCCACTTTCCCTGTTTCAGCAGCACTGAGACAGGGATTCCTTTGGGGCAGACGGTTGTGCTGAGGGAAGAGAGCAGAGGAATCTCTAGTCCCTTAATGACAGATGGGTTTGTGGCAGCCAAGGATTTGTGGACTGACCCACTTGCTCAGTTGTATAATGGCATGTGTGTGTGAGAGAGAGAGCAGCAGGTCACTGTAATGCTACAAATACCATCCACAACATCAGTGTGTAAAGCCTAAGGATACTTGATTGAAACAGTGGTCATTGATGCTAGCAAAGCATGCTCAAATGGACAACTCCTTTATAAAGACCAGCCAAATGCAGCTAAAGAGCGTGTGAGCTTTTGAGTTCCTCCTTGGCAGGAAATTAAAGGAGGAAAAGCCAGTAGCCCTGGAGCCTCCAGGTTGCAGAGAGCTGCTGCTGCTGCTGCTGCTGCTGTTATAGGTGGCCTGAACAGCTCCTTTTGTTTGACAGGCATTTGAAAATAATCTCTTCCGGGCTCCGATCTACCTTCACAAGATGCCTGAAACAGACTTCCTAATTATTCGGACACGCCAGGGCTACTACATCCGGGAGCTGGTGGATATCTTTGTGGTTGGCCAGCAGTGTCCTCTCTTCGAAGTCCCTGGCCCCAACTCCAAACGGGCCAATACGCACATCCGAGACTTCCTGCAGGTTTGTTGCTAGGGGAGAGCTTAATTGCCAAACATTCTCAGCAGGTTTTTGGAGAAGTGGGAAAAATAATTTGGGGAAGGAGCCATGCCACTAGCATCTGTTTGTGACTCATAAGCACGTGCTAAAGAACAGCTGGTAAACAGACTGAGCCGGGCCCTGTTCCTGGTTTTGAGCACATTGGCGAGTGGCTCTATTCTGCCTGGCAGGTTGGCTCGTAGTTTGGGGATGTGCCTGAATTCTGCCTTGACTGATGTGGGCATTGGGGCCTACCGGTGTGGAAGGAGGAAGTGTACGGGAGCGGGCATGGGAGGGAAGGCCCCTTCCGAGGAGCATCCTGCATCTGTAGACTCTGAGCCTCTGGCTACTTCATTGCCACCCTTGCCAGGTCTTCATCTATCGCCTCTTCTGGAAGAGCCGAGACCGACCCCGGAGAATTCGCATGGAGGATATTAAGAAGGCGTTTCCTTCCCACTCCGAGAGCAGCATCCGGAAGCGGCTGAAGCTCTGTGCAGATTTCAAGCGCACCGGTAGGCAAGGATGGTTGGTCTGACCTTCTGCCTCAGAGAGAGGCGGGCGTGTGGCTGCCCCCCTCCTCCTCCTCTCTCCTGGCCAGACTCACGGGGGGGCTGTTGCTTCCTCAGGGCTGGACTCCAACTGGTGGGTCCTGAAACCTGACTTCCGGCTGCCAACCGAGGAGGAAATCAGAGCCATGGTGTCCCCAGAGCAGTGCTGTGCCTATTACAGCATGATTTCTGCTGAGCAGCGCTTGAAGGTGAGCTGTGCTCAGGGTTTCGGAGGTCGTCCTGTCCTGCCAAGGATTTGTGAAAGTCGTCATCAGCTGGCTTCATGCATCATTTTAACCTTTCCTTGATTTGCTTATTTGGCTTATTTTAGTCTCTGTACTTGCCCATTTACAGTTTAATGTTATATGTTTTTTTCATCAAACCATGATTTCAAAATACTGGTTTAGTACAATGTGTAAACTCAAGCTTGAGCTTCAATATCTCGAATTTGATCAGAAAAACGGGAGCACTTTGGGTTCATTCTTGGGAGCAAGAAGAATGAATGTTTTCAGCAAGTTGGCGAAGAGAGAAGCCTCATTCTGCTTCTTTGGTCACTGGTGTCCCACCAGGCCTTCAGGGTTGCTTTCCGTTCACATAAGATGGCCCTTTGGCTACGGTGAGAAGCACCGCAGATCCCCTTGGCTCTTCTAGGAGAGCTGAAAAGGGGGTTGAGGGCAGGTTGGTGGGCTGCCTGCTGTCAGCCGCTTTGGGATGATGGCACCACAGAGGGGAAGAGGCCGGGGGAGGGCTCAGGTGGGGGGAGAGGTAGGACCTCCTGGAACTGCAGCATCTGCGTGGAGAAAGGATTATCAGGAAAGCAATCTGGGGTTCCTCTTGTGCCCTTGATGGGCCTCAGAGGAGGCGTCTGTGTCTCTTTCTCAGGATGCAGGTTACGGAGAGAAATCCTTTTTTGCCCCTGAAGAAGAAAACGAGGAGGATTTCCAGATGAAGATAGACGATGAGGTACAGCAAACAACAGCTGGGCCAGACTTTTAGAGGAGCTGTTCTTCCCTCTGGAATGCAAAGTCTCTCTCCCCTATTGGCTCTGCTTAGGTGCGGACAGCTCCCTGGAACACCACTCGGGCTTTTATTGCAGCAATGAAAGGGAAATGTCTCCTGGAAGTTACTGGAGTAGCAGACCCAACAGGATGTGGCGAAGGCTTCTCCTACGTAAAGATCCCAAACAAGCCAACGCAGCAGAAGGTAAGTGGAGCACCCAGATGGCCAGGGGCTGCCCTGCCACCCGGAGCGTCTAGGCAATCACCCAGGACCAGCTGCTCCATTTGCCTGCAGAGGAGGCCTGGAGTACCTCCTGGCCTGGGTCATGAAGCTGCTGGGGTTCTGGAGTGGTGCCAAGTCTGGAGCCCTCGAAATGAAGGGCTGAGACAGGGATGGAAGGTCCTTGCTCCTTTTCAAGCAGGATGACAAGGAACCACAGCCAGTGAAGAAGACGGTCACAGGGACGGATGCTGATCTTCGGCGCTTATCCCTCAAAAACGCCAAGCAGCTCTTGCGCAAGTTTGGAGTCCCCGAAGAAGAGGTGGGTGTGGGCAAGGGGCTTTTCTCCCCTGGGCTGAGCCTCCTCGGAGCCCCTGCAGCCAATGGCTCTCCTTCCTCAGATCAAGAAGCTCTCCCGCTGGGAGGTGATCGACGTGGTACGGACAATGTCCACTGAGCAGGCTCGCTCAGGCGAAGGTCCCATGAGTAAGTTTGCCCGAGGGTCCCGCTTCTCCGTGGCAGAACACCAGGAGCGATACAAGGAGGAATGCCAGCGCATCTTTGACTTGCAGAACAAGTGAGTAGTCTTTGGTGTGGGACTGGCTGAGACCCGTCCTCCCTGCTTCCTGTGGCATCTCTCCTGCATGGTTTGTGGCAAAGCCATTTTGGACCCGGAGGCAGCTCCGGGGCCTGCCTGGTTCCATCCCAATGAATGGCGGCTCTTGAGTCCTTTGTCAGCGTATCTGTGGGATTTGCTCAAGGAAACTACTTCCACTCCTGACCATCGCTGGAGAATTCCTTTCCCACGGAAGTTCCCTGGATGTAAATTGAGGAATTTACTAGAAAGATGCACAGATAATTTAGGCAGTTGGGAACAACTCTTAGAGGGTGGGGATTATGGGAGGCCACTTTAGGTTCTGCACATAGGGAGGGGGATGTTTTTAGTTACAGTTTTCAGCACATGGCTTTCCCTGAGCTAAGAGGAGGGTGGGGATTGAGACTCCTACAGTGTAGGGCAGGAGTGAATTTGGGGTGGGGGGTGAGGGGGGGAGTCTGTGCCTTCTGTGCTCCTGCATCGGCACTCGGCTGCCTGGGAGCTTCAGCGGCTGACCGGACAGAGATTCTCCAGAGTCCTGGAGTCCACCGAGATCCTGTCGACAGACACAGACAGCAGCTCTGCTGAAGACAGCGACTTCGAGGAGATGGGGAAGAACATTGAGAACATGCTCCAGAACAAGAAGACCAGCTCCCAGTTGTCCCGGGAGAGGGAGGAGCAGGAACGGAAGGAGCTGCAGCGCATGCTGATGGGGGAAGACGGCGGCAACGACAAGGACCGGGCCAAGAGGGACCGTAGGGACAAGAAGGGGGCTGGTAAGGATTTGGGTCCAAGCAGGGCGAAAGGCATCAGGAGGAGACGTGGGGCTCTAGTGCTGAAGGTTGGGGAAGGGGCTTCCCGGCTCAGGCTGAGGGAGGGTCCACAGGAAGCCCCCAGAATTGAGGGACAAGAGTGCTGAGTATTGTCTTTGGGTTGACCTCCCTCGCCTGGGTCAAGTGACATTCTGCACACTCAGAATCCCTTTCAGTTCAGCCTTCTGTGTTGGGAGGGTGGCAAAGTCACCATTTGACTCCTCCCTCCCGGCAGCTTCCACTCCTGGCAACTTGGGTGGTTCCCATAAAGACGATGACACGGCCTCTGTGACCAGCCTCAATTCTTCGGCCACCGGTCGCCGCTTGAAAATCTATCGCACTTTCCGTGATGAGGATGGGAAGGAGTACGTGAGATGTGAAACTGTCCGCAAGCCCTCGGTCATCGATGCCTACAGCAGGATCCGGACTACCAAGGATGAAGAGTTTATGTAAGGGCGTCAGGAGGATCCCTACCTTGCAGGGGTGCCTGCTTATCCCTTGCTGCAGGAACCGGGACGTTTCGGTAGACGGAAATGCTTATTTCAAACATTTCTACTCCAAGACAGACATTTTTGAAAAAATAAGCAATCCAAGTATATGGATTGACGTTGAAAGCCAGAGTCCTTCGGGGCAGAGATGCCAGTTACGTCAACAGGCAGTTGGCTCTGAAGCGAAAAAGTGCCAGGGAAAAAGAAGTGAACCAGGGGGGTGGTTCGGAGGGTGATCGGCCGTTTCAAGGGGCTGCCCCTATACGCAGGGGAGGTTTCTGGGCAGCAGTGCCACGCCTTGCATCTGGGAAGGCCGCTGGGGTGAGCCTAAGGCATCCTCAAAGTCTGCCAAGCTTTTGACCACCCAACCCAAAATCAAGTAGGATTACGGCTGCCGGGACGCCTCCTCCCTGGGGGCAGGACTGGGCCTGAAGGCTTGGCAGAGGTGCTCAGGGTGCCGTGGGGGTGGGGGTGGGGGGGTGGCACACTGTTGCCTTTGGAAGTGTGCCAAGGACCAGCCGGGGAAGGCTTGGCCAGCCTGGGCTGAGGACGGCCTTCACCCGTCTGCCGTGTTTCGTCCTCCAGCCGGAAGTTTGCGCTCTTTGACGAGCAGCACCGGGAGGAGATGCGGAAGGAAAGGCGCCGGATCCAAGAGCAGCTGAGGCGGCTGAAGCGGAACCAGGAGAAGGAGAAGCTGAAGGGCCCTCCGGAGAAAAAGCCCAGGAAGATGAAGGAGCGCCCGGACCTGAAGGTGAGCCGGGGCCCCTCAGGGAGCAAGCCTGGCCCGGCCGCGGGCCCTTGTCATTTGGGCCGCTCCTGCTGCGCCACCTGGCTCTCATTTCAGCATCCAGACTCTCCGTTGTTGTGTTTTTTGGGGGGTGGGGGGGAACCCAACTCCGCCTTCAGCTCTGCCTGGGCTGTGTGTGATGCGTTTTCTCTTCTGTCACATCAAACATCCAGCTTTCCTCCTCAGGATGTAGCCTTTGCACTAACAATGCGGGGGGGGGGGGGAATTGGGATCAAGGTTTGCATCTTATTTGTCCCCCCCTTGTCTCCCCTGCCTTCCTCCAGCTGACCTGGGAAATGGGTTCCCTGATATGGGATGGCCTTCTGCTCCTTTGTTGCAGTTAAAGTGTGGGGCCTGTGGGGCCATCGGTCACATGAGGACCAACAAGTTCTGCCCTCTGTACTACCAAACTAACGCTCCCCCCTCCAACCCGGTGGCCATGACAGAAGAGCAGGAGGAGGAGCTGGAGAAGACCGTCATCCCCAACGACAACGAAGAGCTCATCAAGGTGGAGGGGACCAAGATTGTCTTGGGGAAACAGCTGATTGAGAGGTGAGAGTGGCAGGGAAGGCGTCCAGCATCACGGCCGAAGGCAGTGGGATTCCCAGGGTCCGGGCTCCTGCTGGCCGGAGCAGCCAGGATCAGAGGCTCGGACGTCGGAGCACCCAAGGGGGCTGAGTCCTTCCGGAGGGTGGAGCTGCAGCCAATCCCACTTTCGGCGTCTCTTTGCAGTGCGGATGAGGTTCGCAGGAAGTCCTTGGTCCTGAAGTTCCCCAAACAGCAGCTGCCCCCCAAAAAGAAGCGGCGGGTTGGGACCACGGTGCATTGTGACTACTTAAATGTAAGCTCTTCTAAGTGCCTTTGGTTTCTACCCATCTTGACCTTATAGTATAATGTGTCCTACTACTTAAATATTTAGATGTAAAAAACATGTAAGTTTTTTTATTCAAAAATGCACATTGCATCGATAGAAAGGAATATTTGTAGCTCAGGGTTGAACTGTGGGGTCCTTGGTGGTTTTCCTGCAGACGTTTCATTACCATACTAGGTAACATCATCAGTGTCCGTGAGTCCTGTGGGGTGCTTGTAGCACTGATGATATTACCTAGTTTGGTAATGAAACGTATGCAGGAAAACCACCCAGCTCATGCACATTACGATTTTGCAGATTCACTTGCTACACGGGATAAGTACTGAATACAATAGCAACGGGCAGAATGAACAACTGAGTTTCAAATCTAAGTCCTTGTGTTGTAGCAGCCAGAAGGAACAAAAGTTGCAAAGCTGGATCAGAAAATTAGAGAAGCTGTTTCTGGGGCTCTGGGTACTCTGCAGCCCATTAATGGTCTCGCTTCCTGTCTGTTTCAGCGGCCCCACAAGTCCATCCACCGGCGACGCACAGACCCCATGGTGACCTTGTCTTCCGTCCTGGAAAGCGTCATCAATGACATGCGGGACCTTCCCAACGTAGGTGCTGGGGTTGCGGGAGGGGCGTTCCGCTCTTGGCAAGGAGGCTCGGTAACAGAGGGATCGCCTGGCCTTAGGCCCCTTGGGATTAACAGGGAAGCTTGGCTCGGCTCTCCCTGGAATAGGTTGGATTTAATCATTAAAGATTAAAATAAGTCTAAAGCACACAAAAATAATGTACCAAATTTCTTACCAAAGATTTAAATTTTAATTGAACAATTATTAAAAGTTTAAACTATTAAGAAGGCAAGTATGAATAGATGAGGGTTTACTGTGTCTGTAGCGTGGTAAAGCTGTGCCTCTTGGTATCCATTGGGGCTTGGCTGGCTGGGAAGAGCGCGGGGCCCGTTGGGGGCCCCAGAACACACACACACCTCTTCCTGTTTGCCTCCCCCAGACGTACCCCTTTCACCAGCCGGTGAATGGGAAGTTGGTGAAAGATTACTACAAGATCATTCCCAGGCCAATGGACCTGCAGACCCTCCGGGAGAACGTCCGCAAGCGACTCTATCCGTCTCGGGAAGAGTTTCGGGAACACCTGGAGCTGATTGTGAAGAACAGTGCCACCTACAACGGTTCCTACACCTTTTTTCCCTAACCTTTACTTACTCGCCTCTGGTCTTAGGCGAGGAAGGGTCTGAGGGCAGCAGCCTGGTGCTTTTCTGTGGTTCTGAGAGGGTGGAGGATGGCAGTGGAAGGGGGATTTGAGAATGAACTCACCAGTGGGTCTGATGCCAAAAACTTCCCTTCTTTCTTTGTCCTTAAATCTGCTGAAGCTTCTCTCATTCTTGGTAGGGTTGGTGTGGAATTCTTCCTGACCAGCCAATTCAGTTCCTCAAATTTTTTTGCTATTTTTTTCCTTGACCTGAGCATCTTCCTTTCCTCTTCCCTGGTGTGATTTTGCCATCTGGGTTGTTGAAATCCTTCCCTTCCTTTTCCTGGAGTAAGTTTGGGGTAGCGACCCACAGCTTTGAACTGGCAATTCCGAATTAAAGCAGATTAGGTTGCTGAAGCAAGAAGAGCTGCTTGGTTGTTCCTGAAGTTCTGTGAGGAAGGGGGGGGGATGCTTAATCTCTGTGACCCCACATGGGAAAAATCATCAATGCTCGTTATCTTGAGCCTCAGAGCCATTAACCCTTCTTGCTGTCAGTGGAATATGAATATCTGTCTTTTGAGCACACGTTTATAATGTTCTTTCCTGTGCAATAAGACCCTCACAAAGGAAGTCTTGCTGTTTTACTATTGGTTTTTTAGCTATTTGCTTTTGTTTCTGCTACTATGAATAGTCTAAGCATTATTGCTATCTGTGACAATGTTATAAATGTAACCAAAGGGAGAGAGGTTAGGGCACTGTAACCTGCCCCAGGAGGAGCCTCAGTCTTGTGTCCACTCTGTTTTTGCAGGGCCAAAGCACTCCTTGACCCAGATTTCTCAGTCAATGTTGGACCTCTGTGACCAGAAACTGAAAGAGGCAAGTCTTGTGTGAAGGGAGAAAGAGCGAACAACTGAGATGAAGCTTTAATTAAGCTTCATAATGCTATTATTAAAGCACTAATAGACTTTCATAAAGGCACTTGTAGATCACAGTTAGAAACCCTTTGCCCCCTTGCTGCTTGCTGCCTCTGGATCAGAGTGCCCACCTGGTGATCTCTGGGCAAAGAGCTCAGCACAGGGGGGCAATCCTTGGGGCACCTGCTTGAGATCAGAGGGCACAGATGTGGCATATTAAATGCTCCAACTTGATCTTGCTTGAAGTCAGCAAATTTTAATGCCGTGTTTTTTTTCCAATTTAAAAGTATTAAGTATTCCCACAGTTAAAAAGGAAAACTGTATTGTGTGCCATTGAGAGTGTGTAAAAAAGCTTTGGGGGCATGGAAAAATAAGCCAAAATGTCTGGAAAAAGTGAGCAGCAGTTTGATTCCCATAATGAATGGGAGGCTTCACTGTTTGAAAACCTACAGGTTGAAAAGCTAGAGCAGATTTGAAGTCTGGATGGTAAAATACATTTTAAAGAGTGAAACTGCAATTGGTTGGAGGATGTTGATCTCCGTAATTCTTCCTGAACCTTGATGTCATTTCAGAAAGAAGATAAATTGGCTCGTTTGGAGAAAGCCATAAATCCCCTTCTGGACGATGATGACCAAGTAGCCTTTTCCTTTATTCTGGACAACATCGTGACCCAGAAGATGAAGGTGGTTCCTGATGTAGGTGTGCCCGTGGCAGACAGTGGAGGGGATGAAAGGGAGCTGTGGGGGGGACGGGGGGGCTCTTGGAGATGTCAGGAGATAGAATCCCTGCTTCCTAGGGGACCCACTTCTGCTTTGGTGTAGTTCATCTTCAACAGCCTTTTCTCCTGAGCTGCACTTGAGCAATGCTAGTTTTCGCAAGCCTTAATGAGCAGCTAGGAAAAAAACATACATGTTCTGGAGCTTTCTCTCCTTCCCTACCTTTTTGTGAGATTTGTACAGTAGGAATTGGGATTTGTTGGGAAACAGACATGCCTTTTACTTTGAACTGATGTTTTCCAGAAGCTCTTCTTAGTTTCTTTGTCGATGTTCTCTTTGCTTTCAGTCTTGGCCGTTCCATCATCCTGTTAATAAGAAATTTGTGCCAGATTATTACAAAGTTATCGTCAGCCCAATGGATCTGGAGACTATCCGCAAGGTAGGTATGGAAGAAGTGCCTTGAGAGTGGCTGAAGCCAAGAGCTGCCCTGATGGGGCCCCTTCTGGATCTGAAGCTCAAAAGCAGGTGGGGAGGGGATCGCCTTCCTCGGTTATGGTAGCTGTGGCCCACTCTGCACGGTTCATGCAAAGTCAATCGGGAGAAGGTGTGAGGGTTTTGCCTTTGCTCCCCTAAACGTCCTAAAGGCTATCTTAGATACGTCCTTGGGTGTGTTACCTAAGATGGTGGGAAATGGAAACAGCAGGGCAGCTAAGGAGTCTCTGAGGCCTTTGAACATGCCGCTTGGGGTCTGGGGTCTTCCTACAGTCCACCGATTTCTTCTAGAATATCTCCAAGCACAAGTACCAGAATCGAGAAGTCTTCCTGGATGATGTGAACCTGATCCTTGCAAATAGTATCAAATACAATGGTAAGTTTTCTTTGGCCAGAGTCTAAGGCCATCCTCAGACCAGGGGTCTGGCCCACCCGAAAGTTTGCTTGGTTAAAATAGGCAGTTTCTCAATGCCCCCTGCTCACTCTGGAGCCTCGCCGCCAGGCTGCCCTTTGTCTCCTGGCCCAGCCCTGCTCAGTGGGATTGGGCAGAGTTGGGCGAGGCCCTGCGGGCAGGTGCTGCCCATCTTCTTCCGCCCCCTGGCCCTGGAACGCCAGTTGTCCCTTTGCATTTTGAGGTACCTTGATTGGGCTTTTCCATGCAGGGCCGGACAGCCAGTACACCAAAACAGCTCAGGAGATTGTGAATATCTGCTACCAGACCTTAGCGGAGGTAAGAGGCACTGCTCTGAATCTGTCAATCGGAATCATCTGTTTTCAGTTTGGCAGCCTTGGATATTTTGTTTTTTCTCTCATCTTCCCTCCTTCAGTATGATGAGCACCTGACTCAGCTTGAAAGAGACATCTCGACCGCTAAAGAAGCAGCCCTGGAGGAAGCTGATCTGGAGAGCTTGGACCCCATGACTCCTGGGCCCTACACGCCGCAGGTGAGTCTGGTTGTGACCAGAACTGGGGCAGAGAGGATGGGGGTGGGGCTGCACTATTCTTGATCTGGTGAGGTTTCTGGGTAAACTGCTCAATTGGACTCCTAGCTCAGGAGATGCTTGGTGGAGAGAAAGCCAGGACGGATTTTAATTGACTTGTCCCTGGGGGGGGGGGACTGGAGCTGGAGCGGGGAGTCCCAGAGGAGTTTTCCATTCCAGGGAGATCCAGTTCAATGGTAACCCGTTGGGTCTTTCCCTGCCTCCTTGTCCTGCCTTCAGTTCCTGCCATGATTGTCCACTGAAAGTGTTTCTCAGGCTTTCCCTCTTGTAGAAGACCCACCAGCTCTCTCGGAGTCTTCCCAGGCTTTCTTCAGCTCTCCGGTCAGAATGGGGTCAGAGGTGATGCAGCTGCTGAGAGCCTGGCAAGTGACCGACAGGCTGCACTGGCTTCAAAGACTCTTTTCAGCCAAGTCTTCAAAAGCAAAATAGAAAAAGGTCAACAAAGCAGCGAAAGACGAGTGATAGGAATGAACACAGAAATGACTCACTGGTTTTCATGTTCTCTTCTGGGAATGTGGGCCAGTGAGGGAGCAATCAATTTTCACTGTTCTTGCTGTGAGTCTGAGGGGGAGAGAGCGCACAATGGAAACGTGCAGAGCTTTTTTTCTGAGTAAGGATCTGAGCTTCAGCCTCTCACAGTCAGCATGCTTGATTCAGGATAGCTAAGAGAAGAAACAGCGGGGGCCACTTCTGAAAGCCCAGGGAGCCTGTGTCTCACCTGAACTCCTGTGACTCCAATTTCCTCCTTCCAAATGCCCTTTAGCCACCCGATTTGTATGATACCAACACCTCTCTCAGTATGTCCCGGGATGCCTCCGTCTACCAAGATGAGAGCAATCTGTCTGCTATGGACACGCCCACCACGACACCCGAGAAGCCCTCTGCACAGGTCAGAAACGCACCCCAGCAAAAGGGGCTGAGATCTCCGCAGGAAAAGAGAGGGGCACTGACTGCAGAAAGGAAGAATAGCTTTCCCACAGGAGCTGTAGACATGTTGAAATAGGGCCTGGCATAGCAAGGGCAGTGGTTTCCTTCTCATTCCTGGTCAAAGGTGTGAAAACAGAGCTCTGCATAGGAAGATCTCTTACAGAAGGCCTTGCTTGATCAGATGATAGTTTCTGGGAATGATGGATGCTACTATCTCATTGCTTTGAAAAGCCTTTGAAAGGGATTCCTCTATATTCTGAGCAGCCAGGAAAAGAAATGGGACCCAGCCCTGTTGACAGAGAGGAGGGGGCTCCCCACGCCTTGCCTTTTGGCTTCAATTTTACATTAAGGAAGGAACGTTTCTGAACATCCACAAACTTTTGTACTGCCAGATTGTTGCTCCTTTTCTGGTTTCATTTAAGTGTGAAAATACGTGTGCCAGAAATGCAGAGGGTCATTTGAATTCTGGTAGTAATGGATGGAGGGTTCGCTTTGAAAA